TCACTAGCACGTTGAACACCTTCAGGGGAGGCACGACCATAACCACTGCCCGGACGACCCCTCGACTGTACTACTGGAGGAGCTAAGAAAGTTGGTTGACGACTTATGTTAACAGAGGCATTGTCTTCCTGCGACCAGCTATGTACCCGCCCACTACCTGCAACCAGCCATGTACCCGCCCACTACCTGTGACCAGCCATGTACCCGCCCACTACCTGTGACCAGCCATGTACCCGCCCACTACCTGTGACCAGCCATGTACCCGCCCACTACCTGTAACCAGCCATGTACCCGCCCACTACCTGCGACCAGCCATGTACCCGCTCACTACCTGCAACCAGCCATGTACCCGCCCACTACCTGAGACCAGCCATGTACCCGCCCACTACCTGCAACCAGCTATGTACCCGCCCACTACCTGAGACCAGCCATGTACCCGCCCACTACCTGCAACCAGCCATGTACCCGCCCACTACCTGAGACCAGCCATGTACCCGCCCACTACCTGCAACCAGCCATGTACCCGCCCACTACCTGCAACCAGCCATGTACCCGCCCACTACCTGCAACCAGCCATGTACCCGCCCACTACCTGAGACCAGCCATGTACCCGCTCACTACCTGCGACCAGCCATGTACCCGCCCACTACCTGCAACCAGCCATGTACCCGCCCACTACCTGCGACCAGCCATGTACCCGCTCACTACCTGCGACCAGCCATGTACCCGCCCACTACCTGCAACCAGCCATGTACCCGCCCACTACCTGAGACCAGCCATGTACCCGCTCACTACCTGCGACCAGCCATGTACCCGCCCACTACCTGCAACCAGCCATGTACCCGCCCACTACCTGCGACCAGCCATGTACCCGCCCACTACCTGAGACCAGCCATGTACCCGCCCACTACCTGCAACCAGCCATGTACCCGCCCACTACCTGAGACCAGCCATGTACCCGCTCACTACCTGTGACCAGCCATGTACCCGCCCACTACCTGCAACCAGCCATGTACCCGCCCACTACCTGCGACCAGCCATGTACCCGCTCACTACCTGCGACCAGCCATGTACCCGCTCACTACCTGTGACCAGCCATGTACCCGCCCACTACCTGCAACCAGCCATGTACCCGCCCACTACCTGCGACCAGCCATGTACCCGCCCACTACCTGCGACCAGCCATGTACCCGCCCACTACCTGTAACCAGCCATGTACCCGCCCACTACCTGTGACCAGCCATGTACCCGCCCACTACCTGTGACCAGCCATGTACCCGCTCACTACCTGCAACCAGCCATGTACCCGCCCACTACCTGTGACCAGCCATGTACCCGCCCACTACCTGCGACCAGCCATGTACCCGCCCACTACCTGTGACCAGCCATGTACCCGCCCACTACCTGTGACCAGCCATGTACCCGCCCACTACCTGTGACCAGCCATGTACCCGCCCACTACCTGTGACCAGCCATGTACCCGCCCACTACCTGTGACCAGCCATCCTGGCCTTCTTGATTTTCGTTTCAATTAGTAGCAGACAAGCGCCAATTTAAAGGTTAAAGCAACTTTTGATTGAGTTTTATTTTTTTTCGCTGAAAAGAACCAGGAAATCGTCCAAGCAAAGATCGGACGCCACCTGATCAAAAGGCGGTATGTGTTACGTAGGTCTTGAATTCTTTGATTAGAGAGAGAGAGAGAGAGAGAGAGAGAGAGAGAGAGAGAGAGAGAGAGAGAGAGAGAGAGAGAGAGAGAGAGAGAGAGAGAGAGAGAGAGAGAGAGAGAGGCCCCATTCTCTCACTCTCACTCAGGGCCGCATGGATGAGTGAACAGCGCTCGAAAGTCGTAGTCGTACCAGCCCGGGTTCGATTCCTTCCCGCCCGAGGCAGAAACAAATGGACAGATCGGTGTTCTTTCACATAATGCGCCTGTTCACCAAGCAATAATTCGGTACCTGGGAGTTAGACAGCTGCTATGGGCTGCTTCTTGGGTACGTGTGTGTGTGTGTATGTTAGAGAGAAACATATGTAGCCGACATAATAAAGGAAAAAAATAGATTGGTCAGAAAGCCGGGGTCCATGAGCTAATAACTCGATTCACGCAGGCACAGATAGAAAACACAAATAGTAAATACACATACAAACATACACACACACACACGGAACACCAAGGGGACACAGGTGGAAACTTAGTAACCAAATGAGCCACAGAGACATTGAAAAGATTTTTTTTCAGTGTCAGAGTAGTTAGTAAATGGAATGCATTAGACAGTGATGTGTTAGAGGTTGACTCCATACACAGTTTCAAATGTAGATACGATAGAGCCCAGTAGGCTCAGGAAAAAGTACACCAGTTGATTGACAGTTGAGAGGCGGGACCAAAGAGCCGAAACTCAACCCCCCGCAAGTACAACTAGGTGAGTACACACACATCAATCTGGGACCTTTCTAAACAACCTGAGACCTCGAGGCTGAGTGGACAGCGCTCGGGGATCGTAGTCCTAAGATTCGATTCCAGGCCGTACACACACACACACACACACACACATATCATCTTCCAATAAAATTATATACCAATAATTATTCATTACTATACAATAAAATAAAAGCAAAAACCCAAAAACCAAAAACAAATATATTCCGCATGTTATAAAGCTAATAAAAATATTAATTGAAATTTTAATAACTGCCAATTATAACTTTTGTAAAGGTACAAAAAAATAATTCGTCGAATAATTGAAATCAGCTGCCTGATGGAAGCGTTTAGCATACTGAGGTTGAGAGAAGTCGTTCCTGAAGGTTGATAAGGTCGTTCCTCTGATGAGAAAAAGTCGTTCCTAAGAGCAGAAGAGGTCATTTCAGAGAGCAGAAAAGGTCGTTCCTGACAGTAGAGAAGGTCGTTCCTGAGAGGGAGCACAAGATGTTACATATAACTACGTAAACATCTTAATTCGGCGAAATACTTAGCCATCTTAGAGCAGCAGTTTAAGCTTAGCTAAATTTGCACCTGTAATCACCTTGTCTTCTAAACTCGACTAAATTAACAGATTTATCTTGCTAAATTACCAATTTAAAACAGCATAGATAAAAAAAAATGTCTACGGGCTCACCATATCCCGTGCTACTTGGAACTTTTCGTTCTAGGTAGCGAATCTTTAACAACAACAAGAACAAAAAAGTTACGGGGTCACTTTACTGGTTAACAAACTTTACAGGTCAACAAAACCCAACATTGTATTAAACAATAAATTAAATTATTTTTTTTTAATATAGCCGGATCCGGATAACAGAGGGGTTCGTGGTGCGGCGAGAGAGTCCGGCACGACAATAACCGACCAGCGTCCTGAACACTTCCCTATATACGTGTCCGGTCACTTGCCGCAAAGTATAACCGGTTCCAGTTTTTTTTTGCCTCGGCCGGTCGACAATCGTCGACCAGGGAGCCGGTCGGCCGAGCGGACAGCACGCTGGACTTGTGATCCTGTGGTCCCGGGTTCGATTCCGGTCGCCGGCGAGAAACAATGGGCAGAGTTTCTTTCACCCTATGGCCCTGTTACCTAGCAGTAAAATAGGTACCTGGGTGTTAGTCAGCTGTCACGGGCTGCTTCCTGGAGGTGGAGGCCTGGTCGAGGACCGGGCCGCGGGGACACTAAAAGCCCCGAAATCATCTCAAGATAACCTCAAGGGGGCCGGATTGCCCTTCTACCAGTGCGGTTAATTCTAGATTGAGGGATACTCAATCTCCTAAATTACGGTTCAATTAGTCTTTTTAACACACCCTCTTGTGAGGGCTGGTTGGGCCCAGTGACACCATTTGCTCTCACGGAAGCCTATGGTTTAGTGGCTATAGAGCGTCGATGTAGCATCTCCGCATCCCTGTTCGAACCCCACCAAGTGTTTAGGTGAAGGGAACTATTAGGAGAAAACGCCAAGCCATTACGACTATATAGCACATGGAATATATCAGGATAAGGATTTGGGATGAGACGGTGGGGGGGAAGGAATGGTGCCCCAACCACTTAGACGGTCGGGGATTGAACGCCGACCTGCATGAAGTGAGACCGTCGTTGTGGTGTGGAGAATACCACTTCGTAACAGCGGAGTGTGGCCGGGTATCAGGTAAGAATTAGATTGTGGGTACCAGCGATTGTGGGTACCAGCGATTGTGGGTACCAGCGATTGTGGGTACCAGCGATTGTGGGTACCAGCGATTGTGGGTACCAGCGATTGTGGGTACCAGCGATTGTGGGTACCAGCGATTGTGGGTACCAGCTAAGTGATTTTTAAGCCACGTGTTTGTTCGGTAGAATTTCTGGTTTTGTGGTAATTTTTTTTTAACCTCATCGAGGCCTGGTGGATAGTGCCTAGGGAGACCAGAGACGCGAGTTCAATCCCACCACATTGCCTTAATATTTTTATGATAGATATGTCACGTTATTGTGATTGGATTATGTATATATAACCGTAGAGCCGTGTTGTGGGGGACTCTGCCTAGAGCCGTGTTGTGGGGACTCTGCCTAGAGCCGTGTTGTGGGGACTCTGCCTAGAGCCGTGTTGTGGCACTCTCCCTAGAGCCGTGTCGTGGCACTCTACCTAGAGCCGTGTCGTGGCACTCTACCTAGAGCCGTGTCGTGGCACTCTACCTAGAGCCGTGTTGTGGCACTCTCCCTAGAGCCGTGTTGTGGCACTGTCCATGGCAGTAGCGGGCGGGCACATGTTAAACACCCCTGGCGAGGCACTCATACTAACCAGCCAACGGCCAATTAGATTACAATATTGAACCATAAACTTGAGGCAATGGTTGGTCTTGGTCGGGGCATACACTCGCAGACAGAATTTCTAAACAGCCATTGCAGGAAAGCGCACAGTTTGCCACTACAAGCTTATTGTCAATTAAATTGTCTTACGGCTGTGCCTTGGGACGAGCGTCTAAACGTTACTGCTCCCGGGGATGCGACTCGCAGGGACGGCCTTGATCTCAGATCGAAGACGACGACGATATGATATCAGGCCTCGGGAGACGACTCGACGACATCGATAACACCGGAGTGATTGTGATGTCGATGGAACCGGGGCGATGGAGGCGACGCCATGACGACGGAGACGACGCCAGGACGCCAGGACGACGCCTGGACGACGGAGGCGACGCCAGGACGACGGAGACGACGCCAGGACGACGGAGACGCCAGGACGACGGAGACGACGCCAGGACGACGGAGACGACGCCTGGACGACGGAGGCGACGCCAGGACAACGGAGAAGACGCCAGGACGCCAGGACGACGCCTGGACGACGGAGGCGACGCCAGGACGACGGAGACGACGCCAGGACGACGGAGACGACGCCAGGACGACGGAGACGACGCCAGGACGACGGAGACGACGCCAGGACGACGCCTGGACGACGGAGACGACGCCATGACGACGGAGACGACGCCAGGACGCCAGGACGACGCCTGGACGACGGAGGCGACGCCAGGACGACGGAGACGACGCCAGGACGACGGAGACGACGCCAGGACGACGGAGACGACGCCAGGACGACGGAGACGACGCCTGGACGACGGAGGCGACGCCAGGACAACGGAGACGACGCCAGGACGACGCCTGGACGACGGAGGCGACGCCAGGACGACGGAGACGACGCCAGGACGACGGAGACGACGCCTGGACGACGGAGACGACGCCAGGACGACGGAGACGACGCCCGGACACCAGGACGACGGAAACGACGCCAGGACGACGGAGACGACGACAGGACGACGGAGACAACGCCAGGACGACGGAGACGACGCCAGGACGACGGAGACGACGCCAGGACGACGGAGACGACGCCAGGACGACGGAGACGACGCCAGGACGACGGAGACGACGCCAGGACGACGGAGACGACGCCAGGACGACGCCTGGACGACGGAGACGACGCCAGGACACCAGGACGACGGAAACGACGCCAGGACGACGGAGACGACGCCAGGACGACGGAGACAACGCCAGGACGACGGAGACGACGCCAGGACGACGGAGACGACGCCAGGACGACGAAGACGACGCCTGGACAACAGAGACTACCCCAGGACGACAGAGACGACGCCAGGAAGACGGAGACGACGCCAGGACGACGCTAAGAAGCGACGCCCGCTGTTCAATTATTGTAACGCCAGGCAAAGTTACCAAATTGTCCTGTGTAGAGAAGTTGGCGCTTGGGACGGCTGGAAAGGTTTTGTAACTGGAATGCGTTAAGAAGCTGAGCGCCCTGGAGTCCAGGACACACCAGGTGTAGTGTGCTGGAGTCCAGGACACACCAGGTGTAGTGTGCTGGAGTCCAGGACACACTGGGTGTAGTGTGCTGGAGTCCAGGACACACCAGGTGTAGTGTGCTAGAGTCCAGGACACACCAGGTGTAGTGTGCTGGAGTCCAGGACACACCAGGTGTAGTGTGCTGGAGTCCAGGACACACCAGGTGTAGTGTGCTGGAGTCCAGGACACACCAGGTGTAGTGTGCTGGAGTCTAGGACACACCAGGTGTAGTGTGCTGGAGTCCAGGACACACTGGGTGTAGTGTGCTGGAGTCCAGGACACACCAGGTGTAGTGTGCTGGAGTCTAGGACACACCAGGTGTAGTGTGCTGGAGTCCAGGACACACTGGGTGTAGTGTGCTGGAGTCCAGGACACACCAGGTGTAGTGTGCTAGAGTCCAGGACACACCAGGTGTAGTGTGCTGGAGTCCAGGACACACCAGGTGCAGTGTGCTGGAGTCCAGGACACACCAGGTGTAGTGTGCTGGAGTCCAGGACACACCAGGTGTAGTGTGCTGGAGTCCAGGACACACCAGGTGTAGTGTGCTGGAGTCCAGGACACACCAGGTGTAGTGTGCTGGAGTCCAGGACACACCAGGTGTAGTGTGCTAGAGTCCAGGACACACCAGGTGTAGTGTGCTGGAGTCCAGGACATACCAGGTATAGTGTGCTGGAGTCCAGGACACACCAGGTGTAGTGTGCTGGAGTTCAGGACACACCAGGTGTAGTGTGCTAGAGTCCAGGACACACCAGGTGTAGTGTGCTGGAGTCCAGGACACACCAGGTGTAGTGTACTGGAGTCCAGGACACACCAGGTGTAGTGTGCTGGAGTCCAGGACACACCAGGTGTAGTGTGCTGGAGTCCAGGACACACCAGGTGTAGTGTGCTGAGTCCAGGACACACCAGGTGCAGTGTGCTGGAGTCCAGGACACACCAGGTGTAGTGTGCTGGAGTCCAGGACACACCAGGTGTAGTGTGCTGGAGTCCAGGACACACCAGGTGTAGTGTGCTAGAGTCCAGGACACACCAGGTGTAGTGTGCTAGAGTTCAGGACACACCAGGTGTAGTGTGCTGGAGTCCAGGACACACCAGGTGTAGTGTACTGGAGTCCAGGACACACCAGGTGCAGTGTGCTGGAGTCCAGGACACACCAGGTGTAGTGTGCTGGAGTCCAGGACACACCAGGTGTAGTGTGCTGGAGTCCAGGACACACCAGGTGTAGTGTGCTGGAGTCCAGGACACACCAGGTGTAGTGTGCTGGAGTCCAGGACACACCAGGTGTAGTGTGCTGGAGTCCAGGACACACCAGGTGTAGTGTGCTAGAGTCCAGGACACACCAGGTATAGTGTGCTGGAGTCCAGGACACACCAGGTGTAGTGTGCTAGAGTCCAGGACACACCAGGTGTAGTGTGCTAGAGTCCAGGACACACCAGGTGTAGTGTGCTGGAGTCCAGGACACACCAGGTGTAGTGTACTGGAGTCCAGGACACACCAGGTGTAGTGTGCTGGAGTCCAGGACACACCAGGTGTAGTGTGCTAGAGTCCAGGACACACCAGGTGTAGTGTGCTGGAGTCCAGGACACACCAGGTGCAGTGTGCTGGAGTCCAGGACACACCAGGTGTAGTGTGCTAGAGTCCAGGACACACCAGGTTTAGTGTGCTGGAGTCCAGGACACACCAGGTGTAGTGTACTGGAGTCCAGGACACACCAGGTGCAGTGTGCTGGAGTCCAGGACACACCAGGTGTAGTGTGCTGGAGTCCAGGACACACCAGGTGTAGTGTACTGGAGTCCAGGACACACCAGGTGTAGTGTACTGGAGTCCAGGACACACCAGGTGTAGCATGTCACGAGCCAGAATGTGTATTGTACTGAATGTGTATTTTATTGTGTATAAAATATTATAACTTTGTATAGGAAACCTCAAACGACGGAATCAGAGTTGAAGTGTATATATATATATATATATATATATATATATATATATATATATATATATATATATATATATATATATATATATATATATATATATATATATATATATATATATTGGTCATTGGTCATAGCACTGGTGCTAGGACCACTGAAACAGCTACTCATCAACCAACCTACAGACAAACAGGCAGACATAAAATAGAGAGACAAATATACAGAGAAAAAGATAGACAGACACACAGAGATACAGAGAGAGAAAGAGACAGATAGATGGAGAAACAAAGAGGGACAGAGAGAGACGCAAAGCAACAATGACACAAAGTTACAATAACGAGAGAGACACAGAGACAGAGAGAGAGACAGAGACAGAGAGAGACACACAGAGACAGAGATACACAGAGGCAGACAGAGACACACAGAGACAGAGAGAGACACACATAAAGACAGAGAGACACACAGAGACAGAGACACACAGAGACAGAGAGAGACACACAGAGACAGACAGAGAGACACAGAGAAGGATAGAGAAAACAGTGGGAGAAAAAAAGAGAAAGACAGAGACACAGAGAGGCAGAGAGACATACAGAGAGATTCAAAGAACAAATTATCACATCTAGACGACGACAAATCCACCAAACTGAGAAAGGGCAACCAACATCTTTACCTGTCGTTGCTCCGGGGATCAATGCCCTCGCGGCCCGGTCTCTGATCAAGCCTCTTGGTTGGTGATCTGGTCAACCAGGTTGTCAGACGCAGCTGCTTACAGTCTGACGTAGGAGTCATAGCCCTGTGGATCAGGTATCGTTTGGAGGTGAGACGTGTGGGAGAGAAGCCGTATCCTGGTGAGGACAGTGTGTATGCGTGCGTGCGTGCGTGCGTGTGTGTGTGTGTGTGGGGGCGAAGCCATATCCTCACTCCATTAAGGTGGCGATAAGGCGGCCCCATTCACCTTGTAATTAGCAGTTAAGACTCCCGAATCTCCCGCCGCTGGCTGATTATTGCCCCCATGAATAAACTTTGGATGATCGGCACTGATATGAGAACTTCCGTGCCTGTTGTGGACCCGTATCATGGTCGATTTACCGGGAACTACTCTTGTCACTGTTATGTACTCTGGGGTACTGGTTCTTGTCACTTATGTACTCTGGGGTACTGGTTCTTGTAGCTGTTATGTACTCTGTGGTACTGGTTCTTGTAGCTGTTATGTATACTGCTTGTTAGCTTGGCAAGTTCTGCTGGAGCTGCCATGAGTACTGGTATACTGCCTGCTGGCTGAGATACGTATGTTGCTGCTCTTTCCATTACGATCAAATAAACAAGAATAAAATATATGAACCCGTTGAAGGTCTAATGGTCCATTCGAGGCAGTTTGCATATATGGCCAATCGAACTCACTCGTATATACCTCCAAGCCGAGCCTGAAAGAAGCCAATGATCCCTTGTTCATATTATCTGGCAATCCGTGTTACAAATCCTCACTCAACGAGGTCCCTATTGAGTCCAAACTTCTTCTGTTTACAGTCATTGCCCGAAGTTTACCTTGTGTTGATGCACTCAGAACCGTGCCAGTATCGCCCCCCACGTGCAACTCTCTCTCACCCACTTGCACTCTGCAATCCACGTCACTCAACACTCCTAGTTCCCCCCAGAGAATGCATGCTAAGCTCTCCCAATCTCTCGTCACAAGGGAAGCTTCCAATTCCCAGGGCCATTCCTGTCCTTCTCCCTACCACACGTTGAAGCGAACACATGTCCATTCCACAGCACGATGACCACATCTGAACTGCGCAGACTAAATGAGACTAAGCTGTATAACATTTGATGTCCCATTGCCAACGCTTGGTACAAAACGCAGCAATTTGTTGCCTTATTTTGAACACCGGTACATTGATTTCCCGGCGCATAACCCCCCAATAATCACGACTCCCAAATCATCTTGCCACCCTTCCATAACAAGATATGGCAACTTCAACATTGCATAACTGATAACTGTAAACTCAAGCAAGGTTCAGAACCCTACACCTGCCAGCACTCGACTGCATTCACAAGTGCCTCGCCCACTCCAAAAGCCTATCCAACTCGTTCACTAGCGACCTAAAACAACCGACTCAGTCTAACTCTCGACCCATTTACGGTACCTTCGCAAATTTGTAAATGTTGCTGTTGAAAATTGTGTTCAAACCACTCGTATATGGTGACCAGCATTGGTCATAGACTAGAACACTGTTATTAAGGTAAGGGGAGAGAAAGAGTTGGGCTTCTGGTTCTCCTGTTACAAGGATTATGCCTGTTAGCTGCTGGCTTAGGCTGATGCTGCTGGTATTCGGATATAGCTATTGGAATGTTCTCTCTCTCTCTCTCTCTCTTTCTCTCTCTCTCTCTCTCTCTCTCTCTCTCTCTGGCTGCTGATGTGTTAGTGGTGCTGCCGTCCAACTGTAAACATCTCTGGCTGTGCTTATCTGTTAGCGTCTATGGGGGGAGCGAGATATGGTTCTTGGGCCCCAGCTCGTAGCTATACATATCGTATACATCTGTTTTGACGTCATAGTTTAAGATCGAGATTCTTCTAAAAGCTGTAGATGGAGGTAACATCTCTTTCGTCTGTCAAAGCCTGATCCACTCGCTTGTAACCCGAAGGCAAAAGAGTGTTTTCTTGCATTCATCAGGCTCAATTCTCTTTTGTCGGAAAATCCGACACCATTTAATAATAATATCATACAGACAGATAAGAGCTGTGTTGTATAAACAAGTTACCCATAGAAAACGTAACTTGTAGTGAAATTACCGTCTATAGAAAACGGGATATCATCACCACATACTATTATAATTCACCAGCTATTCTGCTGGGAATTATTCTTAAATACATTAGTCTTTGGACTTTACCATCATAAAAACATCTTATATAAATTAACTTAATTATCAATATTAAAGTAGAGTAAATGTGACCCTTCTATCATGTTCTGAAATCTGGACAATGTAAGCCAGGCGTCAGAGGATGGAAGGAGG